CCCCCTTTCGCGTGTCCACCGAGACCGTTCGTCTCCGCTCCATCCTTTAAATCTAGCGCATGAACCCAAACTATGTGAGCCACTGCAGCATGGGCAATTTTGACTGTGCAAAGTGATTGATTTAGACGTAACCAGCGCGGTGGGGTGAGAGAAGTTTGGCTTTCCCGCCCGATCTCGACCTCGTTGGAATTGTCCGGAATGATGGGACGATTTGAATTTTGTCACTGAGGCGGTGTTTGTGCGCGGTTCGCCAACAATTTCTAGCACTGCCACTCGCTGTTGTAAAAACTCCATCAACTCTTCAATCGACGGATAATCGGATTTGGTGCCGGTCTCGAATAGTTTTCGAGTCGAAATCGAGAGACAACGAAACGCAACCGAAAACAATATAAATGAGCCCATATTCGAAATTTGTAATGCGTCGAATAAAGAAATACCCTCACTGAATAGGTCCATAAAATTATTTAGCTTCGTAAGCGATTCGTGCGTGATAGGCGACGCGCGTAACAATTTGTTTACTAATGACGTAGCGACCAAGCGCGGACGATTAAATCGATTAGATAATGTAGACCAGACTAACGCATTATCTGCACAGACCGTTATTCCGCGTTTTAGACATCCAATTAGATAATATATTTTATCCGTATCACATAGGTTGATCCGTTAATCAACTAACGCCATGAATAAGTCGCGAAAAGTCGGCCAATAACGAAAATCACCGTCAAATTAGGGCCAATGCCTGGGAGCCGCGATAGGGGCCCTTGTGTGTTTTTTTCTGTTGACGGAGAAAGGGAATGTTCGCCGTCACCTAGTGACGCGGTACCCTTATTGATACATGGCATGTCATTTACTTCCACCCTCTTTGGTTTTAATTTCACCGCCATCGATTTTGACACATTAATTAACCCCCGCACTTCGGTCGGCATGTCAGGCGAGTACTCATTAATCTTGTCGAGAGACACTAAATAATCTAGAATCGAATCGTCCTCTGACTTAAACTGGGCCCACAAACTATCTAAATCCGTTGTTGCTACTAAAAACTCAGGAACGATATCAATGTCGCTGAGCGCGCGTGTCGATAATGCATGGACCGCCCGGATTGCTGATACCGCAGTCGCCCGCTTAATTTCGGCGTGAGTTCGCAACCGATTTATAATAATAATAATTTTATAATATAATAATAATAATTTATTTGGCCACAAACAGTTTAAAACATGGTTTAAATTTAAACAGTAAAAATGTCTTAAAATTAATACATAATTACTAGAATAAAAATAAAAATATAGATTGTGTTACAGGTAGTTGGCCCAATTCACCACTGAGGAAAAACCTCGTATTGGTGAAATTGGAGTCTAATCAATTTATTTATTAATTATTGTATATAACTCAAAACTTAGAATGGTAATAAAAGGAAGGTAAACAGAGAGAAAATAAATTATAATAATAAAGAAAATAGTGAATATAGAATAATGAATATAAGATAAATATTATGAATAAGATAGTGCAAAAAAAAACAATATTAATAGTTGACGATTACTTTTGCTTAAAGCTACAGTTATGACATAAATAAAGGTATCATTATGTTATATGCGTATAGAAAAAAATATAAGATTAGTCACTAATTATTCTTGCAAATTTGATAACCATATTTTAATTAAATGTTTGTATTTTGTATATGAATTACAATTTAAAATGTTGGATGGAATATTATTATTCAGAAGTTCTAAACCTACTTTTGCAAAGTATCTACTAGATTTTAAAGTTTTTAATGTGGGGATGATTAACTTATTATTGTTTCGGCGCGTAGTGTGTGAGGTATGTTTAAAGTTTATCAAATTTAGTTTGTAAGTAAAATATAAGGCATTTCGGTAGAATAATTGTTTTATATTGAAAACATTCATTTCCTTAAAGAGCTCATTGGAAGGATAAGTTATAGGTTTATTAAGAATTATTTTTATTATGCTCTTTTGTGCTGTTTGTAGTTTGTTGTAAGCAACGATACCTAGTCCACCCCAGGCAGTAATGCCATATTGTAAAATAGATTGGGTCATTGCGAAATAAACCATGCGTAGCATTGATTTATCTAATACTTTTTTGGCATTAATATAGAAATGATTGAGTTTGCGCATTTTTATTATTAAATTTTTTATTTGAATGTCCCATTTCATATATTGGTCAAATACAACGCCTAGATATTTAATATTATCTATTTTTTTAATTAATATACACGAATCATTTTTATTTTTAGCTATACAACATAGTTTATGTATTTTAATTTCGCTAATTATCGGTTGCGTTCTTTTATCTTGGGTAAAGGTTATGAATTTAGTTTTATTGGGATTAAGCCTTAAATTGTGTTTAAAGAACCATTCATTTATAATACACATGTCAGACTCGGCATATTGGTAGGCTTTTTCCCAATTAGTTTCTGAAATGATAAGGGCCGTGTCATCAGCATATGAAAATAGTTTGCCGTGTATATTAAGATTACCTAATTCAGCTACATATATTATATATAATATAGGAGATAGCACTGTGCCTTGGGGAACTCTATTGGTGATTGTTAGTTCGTTACTTAGGGTATCACCAATTTGTACTTGTTGTTTTCTATTTTGAAGGTAGGATTTAAAAAGTTTATAAGATTTATTGTTTATACCTATTGATTGAAATATACTTAACAACTTCACGTGGGAGATGCTATCGAATGCTTTACTCAAATCCATGAATATCCCTAGTGTTTTATTTTTTTGTTCTAGATTAGTGTATATATCTTTAGAGAGTTGTGCTAGCGCGTCTTCTGTACCTAAATTTTCTCTAAAACCATATTGCGAAATTGGTAGGATTAAATTCTCTTCAAGGTACGTTAAAAGTCTTTTTTTTATGATTATTTCGAATATTTTAGAGAAAACATTTAGGAGGCTGATTGGTCTATAATTGTTAATGTCAGTTTTATCTCCACTTTTATGTACGGGAGATATTACTGCTATTTTAAATGAATTCGGTATACTGCCTTCTGATAAAATTGTATTAAATATATGAGCTAGGGTATCCGATATGAATTCTTTTATGTGTTTAATGACATTTATTGAAATACCATCCTTACCAGGGGCTGAGTCTCCTTTCATATTCATAATTACGGAAATAATTTCATTTTTCGTGGTTTTTCTAAGATATAAAGATTGAGTAGGATTATTTATATTATCAGAAACACCATTTTTTTGAGTTAGATTATTATTGATTGAATTCCCCATTAAGATAAAATATGAATTAAATGTGTTTGCAATCATGATGGAGTCAATGTTAGAGTCGTGTATTGTATTGTTGATGCTTATATTATAGCTGCGTGTTTTATCATATATTGTGTATTAGTTGTTATATCTTTCACTGTAGACCATAATTTTTTTATGTTTTTGCTGTTTTTTGAAATTTTTTCCCTATAATAATTCAGTTTTTGTTTTTTAATTATGTCAGTAAGTTTATTTCTATATTTTTTGTATTTAATAATTAGGTCTGTATTGAACGGTTGACGTCTGGTTAGGGTATGTAGTTTGTCTCTTTTATTTATAGATTGTATGATACCAGGCGTGATCCAATTTTTGATTTGTTTTGTATTGTGTCGTATATAAGTACACTTTTTTAGATTATTTTGGATTATTGTCGTGAGTAGTGCTATTTTATCTTCTGTTGTTTGAGATAATTTAATTTCATTCCAATTAGTTTTATCAGACAGAGATGTAAGTTTGTTATAGTCAACGAACCTATAAGAAGTTTGTTTTATATTTTTTTTACCTAGTTCTATTTTGTTATTTAATATTAAGATTATTGGATAATGGTCTGTAATGAGAGAGTCTATAACTGCCGATTGTATATTATAGTGTTTAAGATAATCTCTAACAAAAATGTGATCAATGCAGGTATTGGACTGTGGTCTGGTGGGTCGATTGATAAGTTGAATAAAGTTTAATGAGTTAAGTAAGTCTAAATAATTGGCTGTTGAGTTAGTGGTGTCTAATATGTCTATATTAAAGTCTCCAATTAAAATAAATGTTGTGTTTTTGTGAGAATTTATAACATTGTTAATTACAATATCTAGGTCTTCGATAAATTTAATTATATTGCCGCTAGGAGATCTGTATATAGATATAATTCCATAATTTACTTTATCATATGTTACTAGAGTAAGAATACAATTAGCATTTGTTATATTAATTTCCGTACTTATTTGGTTTATTTCGTTTTTAATGAGGATTATTATTCCATCGCTTCTACGAATATTGTTATTTGTGGATTCTATCTGGTAATTTTTGAATGGAAGAAAATTATCATTGAAGTTATCGTTTAGCCATGATTCGGTTGTTATTATTACGTGATTGTCGTTATTTAGGGAAGAATTGAGACATTCAAGTTCAGATATGTGTTGATTGATGCTTCTAATATTAATATGTAAAATATTTAGACTTTTATGTGAAAGGAGAATTGAGTTCGTTTCCTCGATAGTTAATAAAGGTACAGTTTCTTTTTTAGTTATATTATTTATAGTTTTAAACTGACTCATTTGAAGAAAAAAAAAAAAAAAATTTAGTAAAATTGAAAAAAGTTGAGATATAGATTATAAAACTTACATCTTTTCTAAATCACTGTTGGTTCTAATACGGATGATTCTTGCGTTCTCGTCTTTTCTAGTTAGAATTTCTGCGTTGGATATCCATGTAAATTTGTAATTCTTCTCTTTGGCGGTTGATCTAGTCTTAGCGAAGAGTATTCTTTTATCTCTTGTGAGATGTTCGTTGATGAATATTTTGTTTTCGGTTGGCCAGTTTTTGACTAGCATATTGGCGTTTAGTTTAGTATTTTTCGAATTGCGGATTAATTGATTTTTTAATTCTTTTGTTTCTAGTTTCGCAATAATTATATTAAGTTTAGACTTTTCTGCGGTTATTCTTTTAGCTTCTACGACAGGAATGTCAATATTTAGTTTTTTTCCTATTTCTTTTACTATATTTATGCAGTTTTCGTTTTCAGTTTTAGGTATTCCTATTATCTCAACACTGGTTTCAAGATTTTGTTGTTCAAGAATATCAATTTTTAGCTTAATTTCACTTATTTCTTTGGATAGTTTGATATTTTCTGTCTTGATTTGCTCATTTTCTATTTTAATTAATTTTATATCTTTGAACATTGTTTGGAGCTTGCTCTCAAAATCATGAAACTGTTGACTCATAAAACTTATTGAATTAATTAATTCTTCTATCTTATCTTCTAATTTATTGGTCGGTTCTGTAGTGGTTTTGGCGTTTCTGTTAGTTTGGCAGTTCATACATGTAAAGCGTGATTTGTTGGTTTTCGACATTTTTTTAAAATTTGATTCGGAGATTCCATTGCAATAAAAGTGAATCTGACCGTTGCATATACTGCATAGAAGTACGTCTTCTAGGTGAGTTAAATGCTCATGGCATTTAGAACACTCCGAAGACATATTAAAAAAAGAAAGAAAAAAGAAAAATGGAAAAAAAAATGATGTAAAATGTGAGGTAACGGTTATTTGTGTAATTTTAATAATACTTATAGATAAAGAGCGTATAGGCGATGAGTAAGTTACCGGACGGTACGGCTACCTGGTGATCTTAATAATAAGTCTTCACTTATTATTAATTTTATAAGGAAATATAATTAAAATAGACATTTATAATAAATTATAGTGATTACAATTGGTAAAATATATATTTATGAATTTATTTTCCGTAAAAAGATTAATTTAAAATAAAGACTTTTGCTTGCACCCTTTTACCCCACCATGTGCACAATCTTACCCCAGTGTCGGAGTAAGATTGGGCATATGATTTATGTTAAGTTTTCTACGTTTTAAAACTAATCTATTCAAAATATTAAAGCTTTGATTGAAAAAATGAAATGAAATGAATATTTGCTATACAAAAATAACTTTTTTTTGTACCAAAAATATAATACTATATTATTTAAACACATTTTATAAAAGAGTGCGTCATCTTACCCTTATCTACTCTACCTATATATTACCGCTGTAATTGTACAGCGTTGCATCACCGTGATTAGTATATTTACTTTATTTACACATTTATAATTTAAATTTTGAATCTTGAAAATTCGATCGACAAAAATCAAAAAACACGTTAACCAAAATTTCATGAAATATGCCCGATTTTGATTAAAACACAGGTAAATGCAAAAATGACTCAAAGAATCCAAAAAAGCACTAAAAACTAAAAAATGCAATATGTAAAAAAAAGCAAAATAAAATTTTTTATTTGAGTTCTCTGTATCATGAAACACATTTTTAGCTTACTCTGCTATTTTTTAAACATCTCATAAAAAATATGCAAATGTTATAAAATCCCAATCCTGATTATTATATTTAGTGTGAGCCGTGTGGGCCACACATTTGATTTATTCATATATTTATTTATTATTATTTATGCTAGTTGCGCCACTGTAGGGCCAACTTACTGTTTTTATTTTATATTGATATTATTTTAACCGTGCCATTGTAGGGCTAGCGTTATTATTATTTGTTTGTTTTTTGTTCATATTGTCTGTTGTCACAAATTATTATACATTACAATTTATACTCTGTTAAGCCAATCGGTCCATTTATTTATTTTACTATACAGTCCACTACCAATTTATATTTATTTATTTGTATTATTTTTTCTATTAGTCATTGATTTTATTATTAAGGTGAACAAGACTGCCCTCTAATATTGTTGGGCTCTTGCCGCACCGACAACATTCATTTCGCTATCTTAACGTATCAGACGAGATATTTCATCTGAGCGACCATTATATCTTTTATCATGATAGTGATATAGGTAAATGATTACAGGATATCCGTGTTATTATGATATTCTCATATAAATTATAATAGATAATTATACGGGTTTACGTTGGTTTTTGCAAAAAGTTAGTATGGGCTTGCGGCAGTGGCCTCTTCATCTCGTGCGGGGTGTAAGTGCATACCCTGCTACCCCCGTGGACTCGCCTATGTTTCTGCTAGTGGAACAATCTTGAATATGTTTTATAATTTCATTTGTATTTGCAAAATCTTGAAATAAAGTATATGATGCCACTAAATAAAACTTTTTTTGTGTATTCTCCATCAGAAAATGGTTTACCGTATTGTGCAATACAGTGGGATACAGAAAAACTAGTGGTTGTTAAATTATTATTTGGTTTAAACGCAATTTTGAATTTATTTGATTGATTTTTAAAACGTTTTACTTTTTTTTTTGAAATTAGTTTCAATTTTTCTACGGTTGATAAAAAAAATTTGTTCGTATGAATTGTTTTGAAATGTCTTTTAATATTAAAACTGCGGCTAATTACTGTTTCATTACACAAGCAACATGAGGCTTTATTATTTTTTTGAATTACCACGAAACTACGATCCAATGTTCGTAGAATAATCTCCAAATTTTATTTTTTGACATGATTATGTTGTATAACACATAAACGTTAGTACTCATATGTCAGGATCAAACGTATATTTAATAAAAGGTATGATTTTAGCAAATGCCGAGGGTCGTGTTTACAATATAGATAGTTATATATATAGTTTAAAAATAACATAGGTTGCATTCATAATTGTAGATAGAACTATGACCGTGTTCTACATCTGCTGGTTCTATCTATAAACCGTGCTATAAACATAATTATACATACTGTTAAGACAATTATTCGGTAGTACCGTCTTACCGTACACTGTACAACCACTCTCCTTCCGCCATGCCTTATCTGTAGTATTGAATGTATAGATGTGCTGGACACTACGCGCTGTAGTTCGAGCATCGCGAAACGTCGAACATACGTACTTGTTTTTATTGTGTGTTTTTTTATTATTTTCCATTTGTATGTGTTACCTAACTATAAGTTACCATTTTTATTTATTATTTACCTATAATCTTTGCGATCGCTCTCTACAACATTTATAAAATGATTATTTTGATTATTTGAAAATCAACATTTTAGTATTTTAAATATTAAATGATTTAATAAATTATTAATTGGTATACTATTACAATAAGAATTCATTTTCTTCTTAGCGTTTTTCTAGCGTTTCATTCATTATAAGTGTAATGGGCAGGCCCTATTTACGTCATAGCACCACATCACACCATAAGACTTCAGCATCACGCTATACTGCATGAACCAATCAAAGGCACTTTAAATTATCACGCCACTTCCGTACCAGGGTACGTAATACAAGTGGGCTTCTATATAATGCACCTGCTCACAAGCCACTGAGAGTCACTCTTAATACAGAGTTAAAGAAGGCACTAGACTGTGTTATTGTTAATACTAGTCGTGACGGATTTGACTTCTGTACAGTTTAACTTTATATCTATCTACGTAATTACAGTGTGTTTGTCTAAATTAATAAACCAAGTCATCTAAACTTGTTATAATATATTCTTCAAAGTGTTTAAGCTTGAAATATACTTTTTTCTACTCTAAAAATTTTAGTAAATCAATTGATTGGGAAATTAATCGTTGAGGAATCTTATTCAATAAGAGTTGCATACTCTTATTAAAAATATGTAAAAACATAGATAAAAACATTTTTATCTGGCCTCAAGTCATAATTAAGAAACGACATTTTTACCATTTAATAAGGAGATGATTATTGATATTGGAACTACAAAAAAATTATTCAAGTTTGAAAAAGACAAAATAATATTGATTCTTAAAAAATAAGAACTTTTTTCGTATAAGTGATATCAAAAAAATAAAAACGATATATCACAGATAATGTTCTACTTTATACGTGGTAAAAATGTCGTTTGTTAATTATGACATTAGCCCTCTCGATTCTTTCCCGGGTGAAATAGTTTTTACGGATGAATTTATACACGTGTAGCGTTCTCATAAGACGTGTATGTTTGTTTTTTTTTAATTTTTATTGTTATCATTATCATTATTCGTATGGGAATAATTAATTAATTAATTTGAATTAATAATCAAAAGGAGCCGTGGACCCAAATATGTTAAAAACCACTGATATATACTACTATAGTTATAGATATTTAATAAACATTAATTACTTTGCTAAGTTGCTCAATTAATATTTTACTGTAGTTAAACCAATGTTTAATGTCCTTTTAAAATGTTTTAAATAGAAAATTATGCTGAATATCAAAATAAGAATCTTCAAGATAAAAATAGAAAACCAACTAGTATTCCAATAAATGATGCAATAGCTGATGGTAAATATTTTTTATCGTTAATTATGATTTCATCATCAGAATCTCATTATTTAAATTTGATTTAATTTAATCAAATAATTTTATGCTACTAGTTATAAGTAATTAGCACTTATTATGTAACTAAAACCCAAAATATTTCTACACGAAAAATTTATAATAAATTCATTATCACAAAATACGTTGATGAGTGTTGACTATATTCTAGTATTCTATTTCTTATTTCGCCGTAAAACTAAACATGTGTCAAAATATTATCATGCGTTTTTAGACAATTTAAAATAAACAAAATAATTATTATAATTGTAAAACTACATTTAAAATATATTAAATACGCTGATAAATATTTAGAATCTTGATGATTTAAATAACGCTTATCTGTGCTGATACAATGTCAATGTCTGGATTAATAATCTTTAAACTTTTGTGATTAATTACTTAGTATACAAGTATGATTAGTATTTAAAAAGTATATTCACGTTTAATTTTATTTATGTAATTCAAATCAAATGAGTATTAATTAATTTATGATGATATATCAGCAGTGTTGGGAAGGAACGAAGCTTGGAACGCGTTCCTTTTCAAATATTGGAATGCGAAACGGGTTAGAGTTTCGATTTTTGAGGAACGTGAACGAAAATTTCCGTTATTATGAAAAATTATGAAAAAAAAAAAAAATGAAATGCATGTTATTTTTAATAATAAAATTTAGTGTTGGTAATTTGGTATCACTTCATCAGTCACTAGTAAAAATAGTTAAATGAACAACATACTACTTATGTATCTTTGGTATATTTTAATCCCAACAAAAACAGTCCGTCAACTTCGTGTAAGAAATCGCTAAGTAAAAAAAAAAAAAAAATGCTATAAAATGTGTGATACAATGTGGAATCTAAGTAAATGGTCTAACGTGTAAAATGTACATATCAGTAATAAATTCAAAATTAATAAAATTTGGTTATTTGTATTATTAATTTATAATATGATTTATTTTAACTAAAATTGATCTAAACTTAGTTTACTTAGCCGGAAGTTCAATTTAAAAAATGTATAGCCAAGTACTAAGTTTATGTAATAGATAATGTAGGCCTCATTAAAATAAATAAAACTGTTTCCGACCAAGTAAACTAAATGTTGATAAATTTTAGTTAAAATAAATCATATTATAAATTAATAATACAAATAACCACATTTTATTAATTTTGAATTAATTACTGATATGTACATTTTACACGTTAGACCATTTACTTAGATTCCACCTTATATAATACATTTAATAGCATTTTTTTACTTAGCGTTTTTTCACACAGAGTTGACGGAGTGTTTTTGTTGGGATATCATTAGTTTTTATAAATTATCACATTTAATAATATACTAGTATATATTATTATTCCCATTACGAAAATAGTGTTCGCATCTCGTACCGACGCGCGACGTGGTGTACGCCACCGTTCGGGTTTTCGGAAGACGATAAGTCTCCAAAAAAAGACCATAAAAGATATTAGATAGTGTTCATATTATATTGATAATTAAATAACAATAAAACAATTCTGAGTGAAATAGTGAGTTTTTAGTCAAAATAATAAAATTCTTACAGGAAAGATTTACCATCATCAATCGATACAAATTTCAAGTTTACGCTGTACAATTTTTGAATTAAAACAAATAAACCAAATCAATTTTGTTAAAAATCAATACTCCTTTGAAAATCCTGTTTTCCGCTACTTTCTGTTAGTTTTGAAAGTAAAAATTGAGTTTCATTATAATTTATAACGAATATAAAAGTTAGCCGATTATTTCTGTTTTAATAGTGTTAGCAAAAAACACCATTAACAACCACTCAAATCGTAAAAAATGTATAAAAATACGGGAATGCTTTCCTTTTTCTCAACAGGACGAGGACAGGAACGAGTTCCTTTTTTACAACAGGAACGATGAATGGGAACGAGTTCTTTTTTACACGAACTTTCCCAACACTGCATATTTGTAGGTTCTATGTTGATGTTTAGACTTTCTAATTTTAGTGGGAAATGTAATTGTTTATTTAAAATTGGTTTTTTGGAAAGTGTAAACAATGTACTTAAAAACAAGCACATAGATTTGTTATTAATCTCAAGCATCATGAACAATAGCTGTATTATAATTTAATAATTAAACGGAACATTTTTTGGTTTCTTTGATGTAACATAATTAAATTCGGACTTAAGTATAAAATAATTTGAAAATTTATATTTTTCTTTGATATCGAATTTTTGAAGTGAAACTATTATACACGCGCTGGAAGTATATATGTATATGTGGGCGATTGTAAACTCCGCCAATTTTTTTGTGTTTTGTCCGTGGATACTTTAATATTCATCTAAGAAATTCATTTTATAAAAGTCAACCGAATGCTAATATTTTTAGTAAAGTTCTTACCGAATTTCAAACCCATACTTATATAAAACTAAATGGCATAGGTATCTCAAGTAAATAAGCTAAAAAAATTGAAATAAAAAAAAAATGATAGCATTACAGAATGCTATAAATAGGTACACCAATAATGAGTAATACAAGACTTAGAATATTTATAAATTGTATCACATAATTTTACTTTACATACATGACATAACTATATATTTTTGGATTATTAAGTATAACGATTATTTATTATGATTTTTTTACTATAATTTCGATATTTTATGTGAACTATATGATATTGTTTTATAATTTTTTTTAAATAATATATCATATTCATGTGTACTACTACATGACCCTCGGGGGAGGGGGGGTACTAAGCAACTAGTACTACGGGTTTGGCGAACCCCGGGCCCTGAGCCTCACACTGACTTTAATTAATTGGTGTGGACTGGTCCTCTAGGTTGGGGGTTGTGCGTAGGGCCGACAACCCTATCATATAAAAAAAAGTAAATGTTATAAAACAACATTACTCTAAGCCTCGGATGAAAGAGATAACGGATTTACAAATTGGAACCTGGAACGTGCGATCTTTGTTTAGGACTGGAATTTTGACGACATCTCTATTGTGTCTTAAGCGATACGAGATGGATATAACTGCTATTCAAGAAGTGATATGGACAAGTTCAGGGAACTTGAAATCTCAAGGAATGACTCTATTTTACAGCTGTAGGGACAAACACGAACGAGGTGTATGATTTATAATTAAAAAAAATTTACTAACACAAATTACAAATTTCAAACCTATAAATGACCGTCTATGTTACATAGAACTTAAATGTAAGTGGCACAATTTGATCCTAATTAACTAATATTCGCCCACTGGATATAAAAAACGAGTTCTATGACAGTTTAGACATGCTATACGATTCTTTACTAGTTGATAAAATGAAAATAGTGATCGGAGATTTTAATGCAAAAATTGGAAAAGAAATTATATATAAATCAACAATTGGATCTGTAAGCTTAAATAAAGAATCTAATGACAATGGTTATTTGTTGATCTCATTTGTAGTTGCTAATAATATGACTATAAGTTCTACATGTTTCTCTCACAAGAATATTCATAAACAATCATGGATTTTGCCATGTTGGTATGTAAGAAACTAAATAGACCACATAATAGTTGATTCACGGATTAAGTCCTTGATAAGGGATGTAAGAAGTATGAGAGGGAGTAGCGCTATGTCGAATTATTTCCTCGTATGAGCAAAAATAAATATCAGAATAACAACAGAGTAGCGAAAGAAATAGAAACACAATCGGAAAATAGAGAGAGATGCACTGAAAACATCAACAGCTAAAGTATATCAAGAAAAATTAATGTCGAAATTACAGAATATACAAGAAAAACCAGTTATAAGTGAAACATGGAAAGAAGTAAAACAAACAGTAAAAACCATAGCTGAAGAAGTACTTGGATCCGTAACAGAAAAAACAAAGAAAATATGGTTCAATGAAGAATGTAAAAGAACATTGAAACATTTACATGAAAAATATAGAGCCCGCATGAAAGTATTACATAAACCTATTGAAGATAACAAAAGATTGTTAGTACTTATACAAAGAGAGGTAAAAAAGGTGATTAGATTGAATAAGAGACTATGGGAAAAAGAACGCATACAAAATATAGAAAGTAATAAAAATAGCCATTCAAAATTTTTTTTTGGAAAAGCAAATGAAGACATGGGTACAAGCCCAGACCATTAGTTATGAGAAAAAATGATGGAACCCTTCTAACAGGCAATAAAAAAATAGCATGCGAATTCAAAGATATGTTTGCAAAGCTTTTGAACCAGCCAATAATTAATATCACTGTAAATGAGATAATGACAGTAGAACAACTACTCGAAACCCCATCAAAAAATTAAGTAGAAACGAGATTAAATATGCTTAAGAATGGTAAAGCACCAGGTGGAGATGAAATAGCATCAGAATGTTTAAAAAGGGTGGTCCATTCTTACTAAACCAACGTCATAAATTAATAAACTCAATACGGGAATAAGAAAAAATACCCGAATCGTGGAGAGTATCTATCCTATGTCTTATTTTTAAAAAAGGGGATATCATTAAGCGTGAAAATTATAGGGGGATCTCCTTACTTAACACAACTTATAAGATTCTGTCCAATATTCTTCTGATCAGATTCAATCCATATATTAAAGAAATAATAGGAGAATATCAAGCTAGGTTCATGATAGAGTTTATCAAAGTTTAACAGTTTATCAAATCCACATCGTCAAACAATTGCTGAGAAGAGTTCAATAGTTCAATGAAGATATACACCTTATGTTCATAGATTATAAAGCAGCATACGATTCGATTAATTGGGAAAAATTATGGAATGTCATGAACAAAATGGGAATACCAGCAAAATTAGTCAGAATGATAAGAGCGCGTGCATATAAGTCCAAAAGTAAAGTAAGAGGTATCAGATGAGTTCCCAGTGAAGACCTGATTCAGACAGGGAGATGCTCTATCACCAGCTTTGTTTAATATAGCATTAGAATAAGTTATACGAAAGGTACTAATCAAAGCTAAAGGAATAAAAATGAACAATAACGAACTAACCGTAGTAGCTTACGCTGACGATATAGTTCTCATGGCCGAATCAGAGGACGAACTGAGAAATACAACTAGCAATCTACTAAATTCTACTAAAAGAGATTGGTCTGAAGATAAATGAGTCAAAAACAAAGTATATGATATTATCGAGACGAAATCACAATATTAGTTATTAAAAGTTGATGATTACAAATTTGAAAGGGTACAGAGCTTCAAATACCTAGGCGCAGAGATCAATGAAAATGCTAATAGCCACGAAGAAGTTAAAAAACGAATTATAGCAGCAAATAGATGCTACTACAGTCTAATGCCACTCTTCAAATCAAGATTATTATCAATAAAATCTAAAATAACGTTACACAAAGTCATAGTCAAATCGGTTGCTCTGCATGCATGTAGTACCTGGGCCACGATAAAATCGGACGAAGGAAAGTTATGAATGTTCGAAAGAAAGATTTTAAGGAAAATCTTCGGCCCAAAGAGAAATAAAGATTGAGAGTAGAAGGTGAGAGGCAAGGGGGATTTAGATGGTCTATACAAGGAACCTAACATTGTTGGGTCCCTGAAAAGCACGAGGATAAGTTAGTCGGGATATGTGTGGAGATCAGAGAGAATGATTGGATCAATAACTAAATGGAAACCCGACACTAAGAGGCCTCGATGATGCCCCAGATAAAGATAGGTGGATAGAATAAAAGAAGACCTGAAACTCCTGAACGTAAGAAACGCAGAAGAACGTGCAAATGATAGAGAAGAATGGAAACAATATGTTGTTGCGGCGATGGGCCTTAAAGACCTGTAAAAACCTAGAAGTAAGAATATTTTAATAATGATTTATGCTTCTTTAGAATTTGCGTCCAACGTCAAATAATTTTGGGACATTCTGTAAATGAAATGCAGATAAGTACCTACTGTGTCTTGTTAGTAATTCTTAGATAGCAGTGGTAATTTAACTCTGTCCATAGTAGCCCCTCCCAAAAATATTTTCTACGTCTAAGTCTACGTGTTCAAGCTACTGACGTATTGAATCACGTTATAGAATAATGTAATTTGTTAGTTTTTTATGAGACTTGGTTGCGTGAATACGAGCAAATTAGTTTACCGAATTTAAACTATATCATTCAGTGTAAAAGAAATAATTTTCGGGCTGGAAGAGTAGCTATCTATCACATCCAAAATGATACCGTTAATGTCCTTATACCATACGTAGGATTATCTGCTGTACAGTCAACATCAAGAGCAGCTGTGACAGAAGATATCGACGACATTTGCATTTCTATGTAACGTGCGATAAGTGAACAAACAATAATAATTATGGGTATCTACATAAGGCCGAATTCACCTATCAATGATATTATGGCATTTTTACAACGTGCGTTATTGAGATACACTATTGACGGCGGTTAAATTTTTCCTCAACGCGATGATTTAAAGCCTCTCATACTTAATGGAGATTTCAATGTACATTTTGCATCAGACACTTTCATGAAATAAGTAGAATTTCTACAACACCAACTTAATCTACAAACGAATAATGCCCGATATACTTCAACAATAAAATCAGGAACAACGATAGATGCTGTTTTTTATCGTTATCTCGACACAATCAAATCAAAAACGTACATATCATATTTTAGTTACCATAAACCAATTATATCCACTGTAGCTATTGCATCATCAACACAATATATACACCTAATAATTTACAGATTTCAGAAATAAATTAAAAATAATATTTATATCCAAACAGAATTGTATGTTATTCGATGAATATATATTTTTCCTCCCTTTATATATTTTTTTATTTTGATTACTGTAGGATACCGGGTCACTGCAAGTAATAAACAGTGTTACCTTTTTCCAATATAAATAATAAGCAGGATAAATCAAAAAATAAAATAATGTGGGTAGTGGACTGTATAATAATAAAAAATATAAAATATAAATATCACAAATGTAGCCTGTTTGGCTCAACAAGAAAGAAACAAAATGGTAACAATAATATAGTAAATAGATAAATTAAATAAATAAATAAAATAAATGAAATGAGATATGTGGCCCACAAGGCGCACACCAAAAAATAATAATTCAATTTATAATAATAATTTGCCTATGACGGCACACCGCAGTGTATGAATAAAATGTATAATACAATGATATCAATAATGTGGTAGATGCCTATGTCGGCTAATGCAAAATAATATAATAACAATATAATGTGCCTATGTCGGCAATGCCAAATAATACAAATAACAATATAATGTGCCTATGTCGGCTAATGCAAAATAATATAATAACAATATAATAATGTACCTACGACGGCTGAGGCCCGTCGGCTTTTAACAAAATGAAACAAATATGGTCGACCAATACTCACATGTGATGACTGTAATTGGTGGCGGATTTTATCCCGACGCGACCGCACCAGAACTATGACTACAATTGCCTTAGACGGCACACCGCAGTGTTTAAAATTATACAAATAAAAATGTCACAGTCTGGTACGTGCGACCACCGAATCACAATCACCAACGAAGACAGCAACAAAACGTGAATTTAACGAAAAACTAACAAAAATGAATTTCGGTGTGCACACCACGAAGACAGAAAAACAAGAACGAGATGGGTCCGACGACATTCACCACGAAGGCTAAGGCCGCCGGACACCACAATGAAGATAAAATACCCCAGTGCCACCACACAAAATAGAAAAACACTCGAAATTAATGAACTTTGTGGCACTGAGAGCATGATTTGAAACTTTTACAAAACATAACCGACAATTTTTTGAAAACGTGGAATAACAATCATTAACGTGCGACGATAACAGCGCGATAACGTATCCGGCCGGTCGCACACGGAGGCTTATCACCGCCGCCGACGAGGGCCGCGAATACGCAACGCGCCGCTACGCATCGCACGAAAATGATGACATGAACAAATTTTACACAAACAATATATACAGCGCGAACAATTACTAAAGAATTCTCTACAAACACAAATAAAAAAAATTAAACCTCTACGACTGTAACTATATTTTGTACATAAATAGTTTGATATCACCACGACTGATGTCACGGAAGTTTCGCTTTAATGACCTGTGCTTGCACAGAATTTTTTTTTTTTTTTAGTACTATAGATATATTTAAATTACTAAATTATTAAATAATTACTAATTACTAAATTATTAATACCTAAATTAATACTTAAGTATACTATGTATGGACTATAAGTAAATAAAAATCAAATTCGTCACGGACTCTCCATGCTAAACATTAAATATATTTACTCTTACCATAAGTATTAATCACATATTCAAATTATAATTAACATGCACTTAAATTTTATAGGTACGCTGAATAAAGTGAATTTGGAAGAAATAGTTATTGGTAAAGAAACAAGTTTGTCAACATACTCTCAATATCTTTATTTCACGTTCTACACTACCTTGAGATTGGCTGTGCCTCGGTTTGCCATGTTCTATTTTTAATTCGGGCCACATGTTTTTTAAACTAAATTTTTTTTTTATTTGAAAATGCTCGTCCATTATCAGATTGTAAAATAGTAGGAGCTCCGATCAACCTGAAAATAACTATAATGTTAGGTACTTCTTCAGTTTGCTTATATTCGAGAAGTTTGAGAACAACAAATTTCGTGAGGTGATCCTGGTATACCATAATGAATTTAAATTTCCCATCAGGATGAAACTGGAAATCTATTAAATCAACTTGGCATCGATAATTAAAGTCAAAAGATATTATTGGTTTAACTACTATTCCTTTTTTCGAGCCTTTTTGTTTTTGTTGACTTGATTCACAAAAATTAAAAAATGTCTCTGTCATCACGTGTTATATGTTTATATTCATTACCAAGTTCCTGGATCATTTGATCACGCTCATCATGTCCTATTGATAGGTTTGTGGTTTATAATACATCAAACAGCTCACTGTTGGGTACATAATTCAGCACAAAATTGTCATATTTTACAGGAAATACAAGTTTCGTTTTTTCTTGTACAATCAGCACATCATACCTACGTCAACGAAAATAAATTATTAAAAATAAATCTAAATAAAAAAAAGGTGATCAAGTTCGTGATTTTTACGTATTTTATCAATATTCGAACTTTAAATGCTTATAAAAAAAAAAATTATCTTTTGATTAAATGGAAGTCTTTAGGCTGGGTTTTCTCACGTCCAGATTTAATTAATAAAATAATTTCTATCAACTCATTATAGATAATAAACTCAATAATATCAACTCAAACTTCATTAGATAATAAACTAGTATTGTCAGCCAAATTGTTACGATTTGTATGTAGTTCATTATAAAAATATAACTTAATATTAATCGTATTCATAGTAATGCCACACCGTGACGAGACACAAACATGACAATATTGTAACAAAATTATAAGTACATTCTATATAGTTCCTCAGAACTATTATTATAGTAGGATGAGAATCTTAATCTTTAATGTGTCAAATCGTACATACACGGAAGGCACATTTATGATAAATGATTAGTAAAGTCGTTGGTAGTGATTTCAATAATCGAATGATTAGTAAACGAAATCAAAAAAATCGAATAATCAAATGGATTTATGATTTAACTGCTTGAACTGGTTTTACAAATATTCAAATGATTATCAATAAGCGTGAAAGTGAAATAAATTTTCAATCCAAATATTTATACGTATTAAACGAATTAGTATGGCGATTACCGATACCGGGAATTATACCAATGATTACAAATAAAATAAATAATAATACAATACTGATGGATAGATGACTTCTTAATTTAGTATCCAATAGGTAATGAGTAAAACACTAAATTTTTTCGAATAATTCAATTAATTTGCTTTTGATAAATATATCTGGTACCAATATTTGGATTGTTAAAATCATTCGATTATTTTGATAATCGAAAAATAATAATCAAATCATTCGATTATTCCCATCACTAGTCGTTGGTATTAGGCAATACCCAATTTTGTTTATTTTTATCATATTTCCTACTCCACGTTTCGCATTGTACATAATACCTAGGTATAACTCGTATTATGTATATTACCGAGTAATTTTTGACATTTTATACAATGCTTAGGTATTTTATCAAATCCGGATTATCTATATTGCCGGTAACATATAGAAGTATATATATATAAGTAGTGTGTATTTGCTGATCCTAGAACAAAGGAAATCCATTGTTCTCCTTGCTGGTCCTTGCTAGACCCCTCCCTCTCACTACCTGCTACCAATGTTATCGTTATCGTCATCAAAATGCTTTCTTTGGAGTATATGATGATGTTGATAATTAGTAATGATAGTGTTATAACACTTGGGATTTAAGTGTGTCATAACATTATGATGTTGTCTAGACGAATGGTAGTTAAAAACCCTGGGGAAACAAAATTGATATGCATAGTCATAACATTGTGATGTATTGATAATTAATCTATAAATAATCTATATTGGATCTTGTTTTTGTCAATAGTCCGGGCCTTTCTGTCTCCCTTTCTCTTGATTATTTGGTACCTGCGGATCGTTTTCACCCAGCTTTGTCCATCTTCTTTCTATACGTCAGCAAGGCACATAACTACTATCCTCATGCCACGTACTTTGATTTTCGACGTACGAATTTTTTAAGAATATCTGAATTTATGCTTTCGTTTAACTGGCTTGCTACTTTTGCTGATATAAATGCTAATCTGGCGATGAATCTTCTTTATGATGCACTTCATGAGGGGATATTAAAATTTGTTCCAACAGCTAAATATCGTTCTCCGAGTTTTCCTGTGTGGTTTTCTAAAGACCTTAGGGATATTGTCTTCCGCAAAAGGAAAACACATGCTATTTTTAAAGCTACAGGTAATTCCCAAGATTACAAGAATTTCTCTTTCCTCCGAGCAATGTATAAGTATGAATCCAATAAATGCTACAGAAGGTTTGTAGAGCGTACTGAGGCAGATTTTTGTGCTAACCCTAGACGGTTCTGGGACTTTGTTCGGAAAAATAATAAGGAGAATTCAATTCCTAAAATAGTTACTCTAAACAACCAGTCTAGTAATAGTGACGCTGATACTATAAAAAGTTAAATAATAAATAATTACCATAGTTTGAGATAGATTAGGCGAAGCCGTATAGTACGGTGGCGAAAGAAATAGCGTGGAAACTTCTGTATCTTGATCATCGTATGTCTATAAAGAATATAAATTATAATAATAAAAATAATATATATTTGCAAGAAGAAACATTTTTTTTTTTTTGACTTACCAAATAATTTTTTAGTTTATCGAGGACATTGTCTACTAGCTGCTTGCTTACCAGTACTTTTAACTGACTTATGAAACTAGGCTCCTCATCAGCAATACCGCACTTGATTAACTCGTTTCCAATATTTCTTATTTTAATAGTCATATCTTCTAAGGTAATGGGCCGATTGAATATCTTTTTCATACTTTTGCCATTTTATTAAACTGTTGAATTACTATAGGTACACTGTTCCTGGTACAGTATATTTTTTTTTCGACTATCGTTTCAAATATGCTCATCTCGAGATTCTAAAGAGTTAAAAGATCCATTTGAATCAGTAATATCTGACATCCTTTCATCATATATGATTCAATAACCAAAACATATTCATCACAATACCTCATTGTCGATAACTTATATTTTTCAGTATCCAGAAAAATTATTTTTTTATGTCTTTCATCGAATATGTTTGAAAATATGTATCCCATCAATGAAAACATATGTTTTAAAAACTCGGGCGTAAGTTTTACATACCATGAAGATGTCATTATTTTAACTATAATGTTGAAGTCGTTTGACATTTGTAGTCCTATGGTAATAAAATTTCGGGCATTAAAGTCCAAAACGTATTGAGTTCTATCTATAAGTTCTGCAGGTAACGTTGGTGGAACATATGTATATGTTTTTGTGTATGTGGTTACGTTGTTGACGATTGAACCGGCCATTAGGGGAAAATGGGGAATGATTAAAAATATACTGAAAATTAATATTTCTCTTTATTATTTATTTTATTCAATCTGAATAACACAATGAAAAAAAAAACAAATTCATAATAGTTATAAATATCAATGTTAAAATAAAATTATCTCTTTTCCATGAATATTTAAAACAAAGTTAACAGCATAAAAACTAATAAAAAAAATTTTGAAATAAAAAACAAATAACTATTATAAGAGTTATAAATAATAATCTTAAAATAAAATAATCTCTTTTTTATTAATAATAGGTAACATAATTAACAACATTAAATTAAAAAAAACAATATTATTAATAGTTAGCAATAGTTCAAATGGAATATAAATCATATTAGTTATGATAAATTAAACATTCATAATTATAAAAAATTTTAACTTAAAAATAAAGAAGACTTAAAAAGCAATTACACTGTATAGGTACAACGTTCATTTGTGTGGGTGATGATAATAAAAATAAAAATAAATCATATTTTTAGCATTATAGTAGTACTATAAGGTTAAAACGAGGTACCCCATTTTGCCATTTAACTGACTCTTGGGTACCCCGTTTTAAACAAAACTCACTAATCACACACAATGTTGTTTTAAAAACTTTGGTTTCACTGTTTCACTTGGTGTTTTTTTTAAAACAAACACTATCAAGTACTAAATAAGAAATAATAATTTCCTGTTTTTAATATCCGAAAGGAGACCATGAAAAACGCAATTCTCTGACAGTGAAAAAGTTTCTACGCTACATGTTAAAAACAATAAATTTGTTTTGTGATAAGAATATTTGATAAAGAACAAATATTCAAACATCACATGTTTTGATAAGCCTCGTATTGATAAAATACGATACGGTTTTCACAAATCGATTCCAGTGTGACCGGAAACCACCTACACCCTGTTTTATCCGACTTCCCCATTTTACCCACCTCTCCCCTATTTAGTATTAAGACACTTGGTGAAAAATGAAAAAAAAAATGTTTACTAGTTACGGTGCCCAGAGAGTGACTAATTCTAGATAACTCTTTTCAGAGTGTCAATGATTTAATTTTATTACTATATGGGTGAGGGGTTATCGAACAGGTCTCAACCAGCATGTAGTATTTGCATTATTTTTATTGTAAATCTTAGGACGATGTTATGACTACATACAACAATTTTGTTTACACCAGGATTATTAATTACTATTCATATGGAAAACATCATAATGTTATAACTACGTATGATCTATAGACTATTTATTTTTTTATCAACATTATCATATACTCGAAATTATTATATTACATTTCTATGACAAATAAATCTTAACGTATGTAAAATATATTTAAACTTCTCTTTACCCGCTTAAATTATCAATATATCATACCCTGATAATAATTTTTAAAATATATTTTATCATTTTTGTTCGTTGGAACGCAGGTCGGTCGTAAACAATATATTTAAACTTGTTACGTGGTACCCAATAAAAACAGGTACCTATCGTAATGATGTTGTTGGATCAGGGTAAATTGATTCAATAATTAATTTAAACACTTGTAAACACTTTTAATAAATACAAATACAAATACAGATACAGATACAGATACAAATTATAAATTATAAATTTGCGCGCTAACAATATCAAAGACGAAACTCAGAAGGGCTTGTACTGATAGCTGGACACGTCTGCCGTTGGTGGTGAAACGGAGCCTTTATATACTCTGTTTGATTCTGTTTTAATTGTGTTGTTTTTGCCACTTGGTTGCCCTTGGCCTTGATTGTCCTATTCGAATGATGATATTGTTTGCGGTTGTTTGTGATTTGTAATTCGCGCGTGGCACCCATTAAAGTTTAATAGTTATTCTCTGTACGTTTTTCCTTATATGACTCAGGAATATGCGTATTATTATTTCTTAGTAATATATGCATATTACAAACTTCTCATTACTCGCTAAAATTATTTGTTATCAATACATCATACTCTGATAATATTTTTTAAATATATCTCATAATTTTACTATTTATCACATTCATTAAATTTATTACAATCATTACTATTTATCAATATCATCATATACTACAAAGAAAACATTTTGATGACGATAACGATAACGTTAGTAGCAGGTAGTGAGGGGGAGGGGGACCAGACAGGACAAGCAAGACCAACTGGGAAAGACTAATTAGTGGCGGTGGCAGCAGGGGGGACCAGCAAGGAACAGCAAGGAGAACAATGGATTTCCTTTGTCCCAGGATTGGTAAATATATACTACTTATATTATATGTAACATATATATAACAATGAGATATAAATAGGTGTTCTTGTAAAATATAGAAATTTTCTACAAAAAGTTTAAAGTATTTTTGGACGTAGGACGAATCAAACTATTGTAAGGCGGTCCTAACTAATTTAGGGTGGTAGGAATCCCTAAGCGTTACACAAATATATAAACCGGGCTACGATCCGTTTGTATTGGAATAAAAACAATAACCAACAATTTTACAAAAATAAATTCTACACATCATATTATTGAATATAAGTTTTTGTACTTTAGGAAGCAAAAAAGATCAAGAATGGATGAAAAGCTTAAGCGCATTTAGAACCCCACAGAATTTAATTAAAAAATCCAGGCACATGAAATTTGAATATTGGAAATTGGAGTATGTATTTCGCATGCTATTATGAATATTTTGTAAATTATAAAAATATAATACCGAATTTTAAATTCATGGTACATTTTTAAATAGATACTTACTTTACATGTATATTTTTACGTTTTTACATAATAATTGCTTAAGAGGGGCAATTAAAAATTCAAAATCTAAGTTAGTAAAATATATTTTTTGACTTTGTTACATCACAACTATTTACATTTTTAGTACAGTTTGTGGTAATCGATTATTAATTTAATTTATATAATTTTATATATGTGGCCCTTGAAATCAAAATAAATATTTAGCCAATGTTAGTATGTCAAATGATTAGTAAACGAAATCAAAATAATCGAATAGTCGAATGATTCATGATTTAACTGTTTGAATTGGTTGTATAGATAATCAAATGATTATCTACAAGCATGAAGTGAAATGCATTTTCAATCCAGTGGCGTAGCCAAGAGGGTGCTGAGGGGGCTGCAGCCCCCTCAAAATGTTAAGAAAATTATATTAATATTCTATAAAAGTCTATAAACGGCCAGCGAAACTAGACGAAATAGACGGATTGTCATCACGCGCCAGGCGGCCGTTTTCATGTAAACCAGGGGTTCTAAAAGTATTATTTATTGGTATGCTAAAAAACGCGAAAAAAAAGTTGGTAAATATTGTATGTATGACAAAACGTGAGATATGGGAAATCGCTATAGAACTCGCTGTATACAACACCACCACTATAATAACACGTGACCAGAACGACGGCAGCGGTAGTGGTAGGCGACGTCGATGACGGCGACCAACATTCGGCTAGGTTTAGTGGTGGGAATGCGCGAAAACGGACGTATTTTGGTCGCCACCCAGTAGCGTTCTCTCGATGCCCCAACTTTAAACCGGGATTTGTCTTGCTTTATTCGATGGCCACAAAAGATAACTGTGAGCTCTTGATTAGCCACTCTGTTATTAACATAAAACAAGGATACTGCAGTTTTCGAAGGATTTGGTTTATGTCGCCACGTGTTAAAGTAGTTGTCTAGTACATTTCGATCTTCTTTTAGAGTTTGTTCTGTAGTATTACTATATTTGCATTGCGTTGCTATGCTTATATCATCAGTGTAAATAAATTGCTTAGATACTGTACTTGGGAAATCGTGGGTATAGATATTAAAGAGTTTTGGGGCTAGAACTGACCCCTGTGGCAAGCCATTGTTAAGTATGCGGGATTTACTGACTCTGTCACCTGATAATACTCTTAAGTTTCTGTTGCCCAAGCTGTTTCCTAAGTATCTTAATAGGATTTGACAGGTAATTATTTTTGCTAGCTTGAGTAGAAAGCAATGTTTCCAGACAGTGTCATAAGCAGCTGAGAGATCAGTAAATGCTGCACCGGTTTTGGTACTTATATTATATCCTTTTTCTAGGCAGGAAGTTACTGCAAAGACTTGGTCAGAGCAGCTTTTATTTGGTGGAAAGCCTGCTTGAAATAACGGAATAGCTTTCTCAACAATTGGACCAATGCGCTTAAAAATTATTCTTTCCATTAATTTGGACACGATACCTTATGTATAACTGATCTTTGGTATTTTGATACATTTCTCCGAGAGTTTACAATTACAATTGTGACTTGAACTTCGTTGGCGCATTTTTAAATTTATTTTTGCCTTCAAATTTTTTAAGTAGTGTCCAAGCCTCACGGTTACTTCTTTTCATGTCAAGGTGTTATCTCTGGCGCCTGGCGGCATTCAATGATGCAAGTAGATTTTTTCCTATCTCAGCAATCTGATGAGCAGTATACTCCTTGTAACATTCTTCAGATTTAGCACTCCAACTGAGTAAGTAGTTTTTCCTGAAACCTTTCGATTTGTTTATTATGTTTATTTTGGCTGCTTTAAATAAGAGTTTTTGGAAGCGTGGCAGTGAGCTTATAAATCTGGGTATGCGATTTATTTTCTTTTGGATATACCCATTTTTTTTTTTTTTTTTTAGGCATACAAGGAGGCGCGCTTCTCTGAATTGACCCTCCTGAATTACAGAACAGAGGGGTACTGGCATTGCTATTACTTCCCTCTGCTCCACCATCACTAGTTTATTTTCAAAAAAAAGATGTACAATATATAAATTTACCTTACTATTTACTTTCACATAACAAAAAATGCGTTTTAAGTAAAAGTGGCCTTCGTCCCATACAATACGTTTTGGTAATAAGTCTGGTTTGCGCGCCTTGCTTCATTTCTGATCCTACGTGATTCCAGCTCTTCATTCCTCTCCAATTTCATACTCTTCTTTATCACTTCGCTGCAGAACTGAGAAATGCGATCCCAGTAATTGGCTGACCTTAGCATTATGTCCACAAGATTTTCGGACAGAAGTTCGTTGACCTCAAGATATATGCACAGAGTTCTTTTGGCATTGAACCACGCATTGCAGTTAAATACTGCATGTTACTCTGTTTAATAGGCCAACTAAATCGTCTGATATTGGCTTGACTTGTTCGCTTTGCTTAACTTTTTTAAGGACTTCAATGTACGAGTCATCTCTGACGCTAACGATGATTACCGGTGGTCTCGTTCTCGGTGGCCTGGCAGTTCATTTCGTCTTAGTTGTTGCCTTCGCTGCTTCTCCTGTGAAGTTAGTGTCCAGTACAGTCCTTTCTTTTGTCTGGGCGGACTTTTTCCTAACTACCTCAGTCCACGTGGGTATATTTGTGTCGCTGGCCACTACGATTGTTTATGCCACATATTTGCCTCCATGGCTGTTGATGTTGCTAGATCCTATCATTGACACTTTGCATTTCGGCCACTTCTTTTCTAACCGCTTTCAGCTCCTCAGCAATGCTCATGATTAGGCTAGTAAATTTGAAATATTTCACATGAAATATTGAAAAATATTTTTTTTTTTATGTTTGAGATAGTGACTGTAAAATGTAATTTAATCAGTTGATATTGTATGATATCGTTTCGGTACAATCTTGGGCTTTCCCATTTAACGTGGTATAGTTTATCAGCTACCTATAAATAGGTAACGACCATAGATATGTTTAATATTAATATATATATATAAATATATAATATATATGTATATATATATATGTAGTAACGACAAAACCGGCGAATTATTATTGATAGTAGCTATTTTTTGATAATATTTATCTAATAAGTAATGGTTCTACATATACAAAGTTTCCTAATAAAAAAAAAAAAAAAGTAATGGTTCTAATCGCCTGTGATTTATTTACATTTTACTAGTCAAGTTTTCTGAAGTGTTTTCAGCCATCTAAATTTTAATTTCCATACTTTCTTGAGTATATAAATGAGAACATTATACTTCCCTAATTTATGATTTGTTTAACTATGCAAAGGAGCTTATTTTTATTTTATTTTATTGTTATCTTTAAATTATATTTATATTATATGAATTCAGTTATTTTAATTTCAATTTCCATACTTTCATTAGTATAGTATTTGAAAATGTATATTTACTTAATGGCTAATTATTATGATTTTATATTTTATACTATTAAGTTATTTGTTTACCTATGTTAAGGAGCTAATTTTTATTTTTTATTAAATTAGATTTATTTAATTACATTATGTTTATTATCTTTTATACATATACGAGTATATATATTTATTTTATTTATTATTTGTATATAAATACAATTCAATATTGTACTCCAATATTGAATTTTAATTTTCATCTTTCTTAAAAAACATTTCCAAATGCTGGTATAATACTGTGTGTTTCACAATATTCACAATAAATTTTATAAATATATGCTTAACTTTTAAACTCACAAGGTACCGATATATTTTTTGAGTGAAAAACTTCTGAAATAATGTGATAGCTGATGAGTAATGGGACTACTGACAACTTATTTATAAATTCATCTATATTTTGTAAAATTTCTTCAGGTGTTTCAATGACTATTGGTCTCTTACCTCTTAAATCAATATTTATTACTTATAAAAACTATAAAATAATATGGTGTTAATTGTTCATTTATATAAATTAGTTTTTATTTCTATTTAGTACAATTAATAATACAAAAAAGTATTTCATAAAAAATAATACACAAAGCATTATATTTTTACTGAAATGAAACAAAATTTTTATTTTTCGCTCAAATTATATATTTCATGAAAATAAATTTCATGCAATTTTACGACCCTACTCATGATCAATACGTTATTGCTGAATGCTTCTGAATTAGTGTTATCTTCTGCAGCAGCCTCACGTGGGGGATGAAGAGTTTTGACTGTGTTTGAGTATTTTTAGACTTAAGCACTTTGCTCCTTACGTCCATACTAAGCCTCTGACGCTTCACCTTGAGGTATTGCCCCATAACCTTGTTGGTATTAAACAGTATTCCTTCAGTTCCTTATGTACGTTTCTTGTATTCTAAACGAAGGTCAACATAGAGTTGATGTATCCTCGGAGCATTCCAAGAAGTTTGTCCTCACCGAGGGCACAAAGGTCGATGATTATTTACAAGAATTGATTTATAAGAAGCAAGAAGGCTCTATCCTGCCAACAATTGTCTTTGTCACACAATAAAAATAAACTTAACTACTTTATTGACAGTGTTGAGACCAGATAATTACTTCTTTATCTAGATAAAAATAAAGATAAAAAACTTCAAATCTATCCAGATAAAGATAAAAATGAACAAATCCAAAATGATCTATTTAATAGATAAGAGATAAACATAATTTATCTAGATAAAAAGCAGATACATTTTTAAATAACAATGATTTCAAATTAAAATTGTACTAGAAGTCTAGTACAATTTAACAGACTTATCACATATAAAACATTTAGAGCATTTGTTTAAGGCAAACGCTTAATTGTAGTGTAGCTTCTATAATTTAAAAATTATTTTTTTGTTTAGAATAAAAAAAAACATAGGTACATTTTGCTATCCATTATCTTTATTTTTGAATCCCATAAAGGTTTTTAATTTTATAACTAAAATTGTATATATTCAATTTTAACTATGTATGATCTCTATTAAT